TTATTGTAATCCTCAGTTATGTAATAAATTAGTCAATCGGTGATAAATTGAATATGTAAGACTCGTCAAATAAATATCTCAATGAATTATGCTATATTTTAAGTAGCTCAATATGAAACTCCTCATCTGCAGTTTGGTTTACTTTGAATTTATTGTTAAAATACTTTCTTGATTTCAAAGAAATTTACATATCCGTAGAAATGAAAGTCGCTTACTCAAATCATTTAATTCAGAAGATTTAACGTAATATCGAACTCTATTAGTCTTTACTTCATAAGAAGCACGATATGAGGTGATAAATAAAGCATCAGTTAGCGATTGGTATCAATAATTTCTAAAATTGAAGTTATTGGATTTTTTGGAGTGCCTCCAACCATTTTATTGATTTAAGTCCAATCACATATTGAAATAAGGTGTCAAGAATACTATATACTCAACGACGGATTTTTCTTATCCATATAAGTTGTGCGAATATCAAAGATTTCACTTCATAACTTCGAATTACAGTCACCGACAATTATGTTATAGATAGATTTTCTTAAGTTCTAGTAGCAAACTATGTTTCATTGAACTAACTAGGTCCAAAGTGGTACAATTAACAGTTACATAAGATATCGATAATACTACATCATAAACTGATATATGTCATGCTATCAAATTCATCAACATAGGTGATAATTGAGTTGTAGAATTTTCTTAGTTCTGTGTTAATCATATTTCTGGAAAAAGTACGATTGATTTAATGAATGAAAAAGCTTCATCCCGTTCAAACAGCATCATAAGAGTACTTACTATCCTCTGAAGTTGACATCACTTATACGACTGTAAATATGCTTGAATTCATCGCCGTTTTCTGTTGAACTCTATTTCAAGCGCATAGAAATAAAGTAAATTTCCAGACATTTGTGCTCATTTCTGTTCAATATCTCATCAATAAAGTGATTACAAGCGTTTATATCAATTACTTACGGTTTGAATTATTTTTTCTGGCTAGTGCTTATTTAGCGAGTTAGTTTTCTAGGGGATGAGATCGATAACCCAATGCCCAACCCTCCTCCTTTATCCGGGCTTGGGACCAGCAGTAACCCCAATGGGGCTCCAGTCGGAGTTATTTATATCAGTCCGTAGAGTAAAAATAAGTAACAGACACATTTAAGCTAATTATTTACGTATATCCATCAATTTGTTGTTAAATCTATATAGTACAAATTAACCCGTCATATTTTTTCGAGGATATATGTGATTAAATTATATACTAATTATATATATATATATATATATATATATATATATATATATATATATATATATATATATATATATATATATATATATATATATACTAATTTAACATTCATCTTCATGTAATTTAAATGGTTTCAGATAAAGCTTCACATAATTAGCTGAAAGACAACCACCTTTGTTTTCCCGTGATTACCACTATATACTCTCGGTTCACTTCTGTCAAATATCCGGATGAAATTTGGAGACAAACTCGACATCAAGGGAGGTTTCTCTGAAAACTGATGTTATCTAAACAGAAAGTCCGACGGCGCTGTAAACTTGCGTATCATAAAACAAAAATAGCCGATATTTGCTTTCAAAAGGTATGCCGGTACATCTAGTTGGCTGATTTTACAAGGATAAAAAGATGGATCGAGTGTTCCAACCTCATACAACTGATTAACTATTCCAAAAATCACCGTTTGACAGTCAACCGAATTCTTCCAAGTTACTTCTGATTCCTCTAAACCATCAAAACATTAGCTGTTTATGAGATGACTCCTGGTTTTTTCGGACACAACCAGTCTATTCGATGTTTCTTTTTACTGTGAATAAAACTTGAAGAATTTGCTCTTCTTTTTTAGACTAGCCTTTGGACTCCTATTTTAAATCTCGAGATAGTGGTGTTTCGTGTCATTTTTTAGATAATTTAAACTTAAGATCAACTTTTACTCTAACAAACATACCTTACTCACATTATTTGTCGTGCCATTTTTTAAATTAAACTTTTGCTTGCTCCTCTTTTGAACAGAGCTTGTATAACAATTAAAATATTAAGAACTTGTTTACCAATTACTAATAATACCACTTTTGCGTTTATTGTCATTTTGACTGATCAGTGAATTAAATAAATGTGGTTATAAAAATAATATCAGCATTAGAATGAACAGAATGAAATTAAATTTCTTAAACATATTTCATCAATACATTTTTAAGACGTTTAATTCATGATTAAACATTAATTGGCCAGTAATTAAAAGCTAAGGAATACTGAAAAATTGTTTTGTAGCAGTACGAGTTTCATCAACACTACTAACTTTAGGGTTTTCAACAGTCGTTCAGGTAAAGTTAGCCTGTAGTGTAAATAGTCTTCAGACTGAAACACTTCAGCAAACTTCTCATCTCATCTCAGACCTTTGATCAGGTGTTCTTTTTATAAATCTCAGAGTGTTTTCATAATAAATAAAACAACAAAACATGGGAGTTTGTCTAAATTTATGGTGTCTATAACTGACTTAAATTATGATTAACGAATTACTTTCAGGATATAATTAACTTAGTTTAAACTGTCCGGAAATTTCTTAAAGTTGGGGTGTTTGATAAGTTATGATTTATTTTGCGTAATGTTTGTAGTTATTATGCAGTGCTCTGATATAATTCTCTAGAGTTAAAGAAATCCTAGGACTATCAGTTTTGTCTCATCAAACAGTTAAAAAGTGTTTGAAAAAATGTATTAGAAAGGTTACTCGTTTCGGTACAAAAACTTAGATGTTACCAGTCAATGGTCAGAGGACAACCGTCATTATATTTTACTATATATCTAAAATGTTTCAATTTTAATCATGCGCTGTTAAAATTTAAATGACGTGAACAGCATGGAAAGCTCCTTTCTAATACTTGCTTTGTTTGCCAGCTTTTAACTTTAGATGAGGTATCAAAACGGGAAAAATGTTTACATAAAATATGCCATAGGAAATTTGTTGCTTCCTTTAGAATAAAAAAACGCAAACCCTTACAAATACACATAAAGTAAAAACTAGGTCAATAGCTGGTCCAAACCTTTCGGTTTCTCAACGTTAGAATAAAAACTTATGGATGAAGACTCCGTCAAGTGTTCTCGATTACAAGGTAAGATAGGATAATAAAAAATTTAACCCGCTGAAAGATCAAAATATTGGTTTATAACTCAGAAGTTAAATTTATTTTGCGATGACACAATTTTGGGACTGTTTCTAGAAAAAACATAACGCTGGCAGCAATATCATTAGTGTCCTTTTGATGCAATGAAATTAATATTTTGCTCTTAATATTCAGAGACAAAGAGTACCAGTGACGAAAGGTGAGATGTTTTCTAAACTCTGAACACAAGTTGAAGCTGAGTGACGCATTTCATGGTCCTTCACTCTGACTAAAGAATCTGCTCCACTACTTTTGTCTAAGCCCAATTCTCTGCGGTTTTTTCTTGAAAACAACTAATGACATTCACCTCGTAAAATGCCTGGTGTAGAGCCTTAAGAGATGGCCAGATTTTGTAGGACAACCTACTGTGTTCCTGTTAACTGGAAGTATAACGTGACAGTTAAGCTACCAATATCAGTTGATCATAATGGTCCTAGCTGTGAAGGGAATTTTATGATCTTCAAAACAACGCGGAAGTATTTTCATTTAAAGTCACGTACCAAGTGGGACTAATTTTATTCTCGTTCGGGAGAAAATTGTTGGTATTCAAATAAACCTGTTAGTAGGGAGCTTCAAATGGGTGCTGAGTGATTGGGCTTTAGACAGTGAATAGTCTCTATACACCCAAAAACCGTCCAAATTGACATTACAAGTGAACTTAGCAATACTCTAATACCACCGTCAAAATTACGTGTTTGCTGCTGTTATCATTTCTTTCAGCACATGTTACTTTTCCTGGTTCAATTTATCTAACGTTCTCCATTTAATTTCAACTAGTTTTTAAGCTCACTAAATCAACTTGACAACTCCCAGCGCTGAAGTAACCCCTGGTCCTGATAACTCTGAGATCTTACTATGGATCGAAAATTTTCACACAAACCTCGTGAAAATTGAATAAGAATTAATTATTCAGGTATAGTCCGTTTTCATATTCACAAAAGTCTGCGTTGGCTTAAGTCCTCAAACCATATCAGTAAGATAAAATTATTACACTAAATAACGAAAATGAAATAACTGCATTAACAGTGATACTGAGGTATGCAAAATATTTAAAATATGGTTCTAGAGGTATAACATAGTATGAGAATCAATAATGAACTAATATACGTCATGCCATTGTAGGGCCAGCGAAATGTCACTAAGCCCTAGCCAAATCATCCGGCAGTCGGGTCATTGAATATCGAGCAAATCATCGATCCTCGTCAGGGTCAGGGACAACCAACGCGCATCAGTTAATGATACGCCATGGACTGGCGCATGCGGCATTGGTCTTACTTTCGCTTGTATCTACTTTAATTAATATATTTCTGTAATAACGTTCTCTGTGTTGTACAGTCTTCAAAGCATCTGTAGTACCTTGATACGTCAATGGGGTAGTCCACGTAAGGTGCCGACCACGAAGTGTGACTTCGACGTTAGCTGGTTCGTCACACCATTCCCGTCTAATTCGAGTAGATCTCCAATCATTTTCGACATAGATCATCTACGTTGGTGATCTACACCATACATCGTCTCCAGCCAATGGTAGTGGTTATTGCGCAAACACCAGTCAAGTAATCTGAGGTTACAAACGTGGATTAGATCAGTGGTTAGTGGCTTTATGAACGGATAGTAAATACTGGTCCAGGCACCCATGGCTTTTATAGACCGACCCGTACGTCGAGGTAAGGGTTGGTTGAGTATACATAACTCATGATCCAACCACCTTAGTCGACGAATATATACAAAGAGTCACATAAAGAAGGCCTTAACTCCCAACCAACAGCATTACAGTTTTCTCTTACGAGGCTGTGACGAGAAGAGAAATTGGTGAATGACATTTATTTAGTAACCATGACAAAAACTAGATTATGTTAACAATATATCAGAAATACAATAAGTAAACATCGTGAAAGTAAATAACTGTTAGTGGGTTTTGTCATATGTGTTCTTCCCTTTATAGCCTCCAACATAACCGGAAGCCGCTTTTTCATCCATGACATACTCTCGTCCCTCGATTCCTTTACCTTTACCAGTTTCAGTATCAAACCGTTCTTTATGAGAGCCTGTATATCCTTTTACATCAGTGAGACGTGATGTCGCTGAATCTTTACTAGCTTGAGTAGCTCCATGAGATTTTGGACCGGAAGTACTGATTATTTTGTTTTTTATTTCATTCGATGCGTCCGTTGTAGATATATTTTTTTGTTTTGCATACTCTTCTGCCATTGCTCCTTCGACAAATCTTACAAAATCAGAGAAATCAACGTCTTTTTTGGCACTCTTAAGATGTTTGCAAAAAGCAATATCAACGGCATTTGCATTAAATGATTTCGTATAGATATTACAATCGGTACAGATTTTTTTAATGGTTTTGTCTGTTGCAGTTCTTGACCCTTTCTTAACTGAATCACAAAAGTCGTAAAATATTTTTTCCAGATCACCCATATTGTTTTAGAAGGAGAACGATCGGCTTTTTAAGAAGTAAAATCAACAGCCAAAATTTAATGTGTGCAGAAACTCTAACACCTTTTAAAATACCTCCAGATATAAAGCGACTGACAAAAATTGACTCTGCAAAACAAAACATCTCATCTAAAATGGATTGAAACCTAAACATCAAAATTGATATTGACAGAATGTTTGCTGCTGTATCGTAGTGAGACACTTGTGAGAATTAATTTTAAACAAATATGACTTTACATTGGCATGTGGCTAGTCCAGTACCACTTTACTGTTCAAGGTTGGTATCTCTTTAATGTTTATTTAAAAATAAGACTTGTTAAGGTAAATAAACCGTTGGTTGATGATGTTTGTGTCATTCTGAAGCTTGTCAATGAATTACTGTCAGGAATTCGGTATCGTTGTTAGCAAAAACTTCGTTTTGTCGCAATGACGAGTCGGGATTGTATATGTGGAGGTAAATAAATCACCAGAATAAATAGCTCTGTGTGCCTTCAACACTGATCTCATCAGATTTACTGGACATGCCCTAGCTGAAGGCGCTCGGTCACGGGTCCACACTAGATCACGAGTGGGAATACAGTGCTACGCATCCCTCGTAAATACTAGCCACCTTACATCAAACGCTTCTCATTATACCGATAATCTTCTTAATATATCTCTTAAATCATTCATCCCAAACTTCTGATTTGATCGGTTCTATATCCCTTGATTATTAAGGTGTTACTAAACAAAGCAATTTCAAACCCCGAGTATCCGTAGCATCTTTAGTTGTGAGCCCGACATGATCTGGTACATTAAACGATAAACTGTGGGCCTATTATTTGTTACACTATGAGATATCGATTTTCCTTTTCACGTGTCTTAATACTATTTTTGCATCGTAATAAGGGAACGGACACCAAAACTACCAGGGATTAAGACTCCTAACACCACCCTTCAACATATACCATTCTAGTCTGATAATATCGGAGCCTGGCTCTGCCACACAGAAGCTTACTTTCGCAAGGACGGCATGACAGACCCACGTGCGCAAGTCTTCGCAGTAGTAAAGGGGCTGCTGTGGGGTTTTAACAGGTAAATTACACTGGTAATTTTATAATTGACATCTTAAAAAAGGCTGTCCTTAAACTTGAATATCTAACCGACCGAAAAAGTTTAGACCAACTCTCCCGCAATATCCAATTACAGTATGGACCGGCACCAGAAATTTCGCTATGTATATGGGTCGACGTACCTTTGACTAATGCCTCTTTAGACTTCTCCAACGGGTGCAAGGGGTACTCACCCCATTCCAAAATAATAACAAAGCTGCTTCTGTAGATCGCGTTTCTGAGATCAATAAGACCACCAAACCGAGGTTCTTTCTGTCAAAATTATCCCCAAACCGCTCAAAATGACACTACGGATTCCTGTAATACTCTCGTTCGTTATCTTAGTATTCATCATAATCGCGGAGGCTTAAAAGCTCCCCAGAGAAGCCCATTACGAAAACGATATATCTCTGTTCCTGTGGAGACAAATGACGCTGATTGCTTTCAATATAACAACACCTTTACTATATCTTATTGAAGTTGTAGGAAACTTCGAAATTCCGCCCCCCCCCCCAATTCTCATCATGACAAACCATTCAGGAAACTTGCACGCTGACACGTTAACAGAAAGCGTAGCTAGTGGAAATAGCCCTTTGTTATATACCACTGATGTGGTGGAGAAAATTTAATGTCTCGTCGACAATGACACAGAAGTAAGCGTACCCCCCCCACGAGCACTAATGACCGTCTACAACATCTGGTCTTTAAACTACAGGCAGCAAACGGAAACCTGAACGCTAAATATGCCAAAATATATGTTTGTCTCAACGTGGGTTTGTGCGAACTCATTTGCCGGATTTTCGATATGACAGATTTTTCCTTAGCAATCATTGGTTTAGACCCTCTACATCACCATAATCTACTCATCATCCGAAGCAAATGTTGGTTAGTAGACGGAATTACTAAATTATCTGTGAGCGGAACTTCACTTCCTCATTGTAGGTTATGTCCAATTACGGTTAAGCATATAATCGGTTCATACTTCCAGCAGATACCCGACAAGTACTCTAAAATTTACCGAACTCAGCTGAAACTACCACCTATAGCCAGCGATATTCCTACCACATCAGGAATAATTGACCAGCTTACTGACTAGTTCCCGAAGAGCTAGGGTCGGCCAAAAATGAATTCGAGCACATAACAGAATTTGGATTTACCTGACCATCAAACAGTCCATAGGTACTTCTTCACAAACATCCACGACCTGACAGCAACCTTGAAAGGTATAACTATCTGCAGAAAACCTGACTCAGTAAAAGCGTACGATCAAATTCCATAGACTACAAAAGACATTCCTAAAACGTCTATCAACATACGTTTTGGTGTCTACGAAATATTTCTCATTCCTTTTGACTTAAGAAATGCTGCACAAATATTTCACAAATTTATCGGTTACGACTTCGCGCGCGTGTATGCTGATGACTGCTTGACCGCACATCAGTATCGAGATTCCTATCCACGACATCTGGACCTTGTTTTCGGACGCACTCAACATCATGACTATCGATGACTGAATGAGCAACCATTCCTGATCGTTACTCGTTACCTCACACCCACCATTTGATAGTTACCTTGAAAGGTACAAATGCTTTTTCGAAAATCGACTTGGTTAAATCATACGGCCGAATTCCTATGGCTTCTGATGACATTTCTAAAACCACTGTTATCAAAACTTTTAGTCTCGACGAATTTTGGCGCATGTATTTCAGTCTAAAAAATGCTGCAGAAACTTTCCAGAAATTCATCGATGACGTTCTTCGAGGTCACAACTTCGTTCACGCGTATGCTGAATAGTGCTTCATTGCAAGTCTGGACAGAGAATCGCATCTCCAACATCTGGATCTGGTCTTTGAATGACTACAAAAGCACGGCATTACGGTAAACATTCAGAAATGCCAAATCGATACCGACTCTCTATATTTTCTTGAACATACTATTGGTACTTAAGACATCCGCCCCCCTGATAAGCAAATATGCGGGTATTCTGGATTACCCAGAAGCTGCCACAGTCAGGTAACTTCGCATGATTAACGGCTTAGCAAATTTCTATAGACGGTTCATTCCAAATTGTGTGTCTCTCATGAGACTCTTAGGAGATCGACTTCGTGGAAATGCGAAACTTCTTATTTTGAACGATGACTCGATAAAGGGATTTCCTACAGTGAAGGAAATCGTCACAAAAGCAACTATGCTCGCACACCAGGACATAGAAGCATTCATTAGTGTCGCAGTAGACGCATCTGACTCGGCAATCAGAGGAGTCTTACAACAATGGGTTAACCATACCTGACAACCTTTGCATACTTCTCAAGACCCTTGCAATACATTGAGTTGAGGTATAGAACTTTCGGTAGCGAAATCCTAGCCATGTATTGTGCTGTACGGCACTTCCAACACTCTGCAGAGGGCCGAGAATCCACTCTTTTTACCGATCATAAACCTATTACCTTCTCATTAAGCTTAACGTCAAACAAGCACTGCCATCGAGTCTTGACAGTAAAATTATGTTTCACAGTTTACTTCAGATATGCACCACATTTATGGGGCAGACACATGTAGTTGCCGAGACTTACCTTGTATAACTCCCTCGAACATTTTGAAGAAACCTACTTTTTTAAACTCGCTCACCTTCCGAAAGAAGACGCTGACCTTCGACAACCCTGAAACTACAGATCGAACAGATGGGAACAGGTAAGGAAACTTTACTGCGTGACACATCTGCGGGCAGGGAACGTCTAAACGTAGCGAAACATGAACAAGGCAACGTTTTCAATACGTTGCGAAAGCTTTCTCATCCAGGTGCTCGAACAACCATTAAGCTCATACTTACTGACTTACTTACGCCTGTTACTCCTCGTGAAGGGGCATAGGCCGCTCACCAGCATTCTCCATCCAAAACTGTCCTGAGCAATCCTTTCCAGCTCCTTCCAGTTGTTATTCATCCTTCTCATATCTGCTTCTATTTCCCGACGTAATGTGTTTGTTGGCCTTTCTCTTTTTTGCTTCCCTTCAGGATTACAAGTTAGGTCTTGCCTCGTGATGCAGTTGGACGATTTGCGTAATGTATGTCCTATCCATTTACATCGTCTTTTCCTAATTTCTTCAGCTGGAAGTTGGTTTGTTCTCTCCCACAGAAGGCTATTGCTGATGGTATCCGGCCAATGGATGTTGAGTATCTTGCGTAGACAGTTATTTATAAATACTTGTACTTTCTTGATTGTGGTTGTTGTAGTTCTCCAAGTTTCAGCTCCATACAGTAGAACTGCCTTGACGTTCGTATTGAAGATTCTTACTTTGATATTGGTTGAAAGTTGTTTTGAGTTCCATATGTTCTTCAATTGTAGGAAAGCGGCCATTGCTTTGCCGATCCTCGCCTTTACGTCTGCATCGGATCCTCCTTGTTCATCGATGATGCTTCCCAGATATGTGAAGGATTCTACATCTTCCAGAGTTTCGCCATCAAGTGTGATTGGATTGCTGTTTTCCGCTTTGAATTTGAGGACCTTAGTTTTCCCTTTGTGTATGCTGAGGCCTACTGATGCAGAGACTGCTGCTACACTGGCTGTCTTCATCTGCATCTGTTCGTGTGTACGTGATAGGAGGGCTAGGTCATCTGTGAAGTCCAAATCGTATAATTGATTCTGAGCTGTCCATTGTATTCCGTGTTTTCCTTCAGATGTTGAGGTCTTCATAATCCAGTCGATCACCAGAAGAAAGAGGAAGGGAGAGAGTAAACAGCCTTGTCTGACTCCGGTCCTTACTTGGAATGCATCTGTCAGCTGTCCTCCATGCACTACTTTGCACTGTAGTCCGTCGTATGAGTTCCGGATAATATTGACAATCTTCTCAGGAACTCCGTAGTGTCGAAGAAGTTTCCATAATGTCCTCCTATCTACACTGTCGAATGCCTTTTCATAATCAATGAAGCTGATGTATAGTGACGAGTTCCACTCAACTG